TTGTTTGTTCTTCATCTAAACAAATATGCTCTTGCTAACTAACCTTGCGAGGCAGAAATGACAAATGACCTGCTTGGCATTCATTTGAAGATTTATCAAGAAAGAGGATTATCAGTGACCTTTTCCTAAATCCAAAAGATTCTGTTTCTTAAGAGAAAAAAAGACATTAACTCGGGCTTTCTTTGAACCTAAGTTGCTGAAAAAGTTGGTCAAAATTTTTCTGAAGGTATCTTATTTTATTTGTTTTCTATTTTTGGAGATAAATCTTCTTCTATTTAATTCTATTCGGCATGTTGATTGAGCTGACATTGGCCTTTACAAGAGGATTATATGAGTGAGTGGTGGTGATAAACCTGACGTCCAGTAAAGTTTGCTTTTTTGTGAGATCAACTAATTGAGGAAATTGAAATGAGTTTAAATAATTAGGGGCGAAATAATTTTTTTACTTTTGGTTTAATGCATTTTAACCCAAAAGCCCGTCCTTTCTTTTGTAACAGTTGACTGTTTTACGGTTTATAATTAGACAACAGAATAGTTTGTTATTTCAATGACTACACAAGTCCGGCATGAATTTTAGGACTGCTGTCCTTTGCAAAGGATAGTTAAACAAAAATCTCATTTTTCTTGTTCATTTGGAGAAACAATTTTTTACTAAGATACTAGAACGCTATAAATTACATTTGAGTTCCATTTACTTATCAACAACTATAAACTGCTAAAAATGTTGAAGTTACTCATGTTGGTGGGTAAACGGACACAGTTACTAGTTTTGTCTAACAAAGAAACTGTCAGGAGCCTTGCTCATGGTTTCGTGACTGAATCTGTTAAGCTGAATAGAGACTGGGAAGAAGAGGGAAAGAGAGGGAATCTGAAGAGAAATTTGAACGTGAATTCAAAATTAGTCGTGCCTTCCTTCCCACCAATGCGCCTTTCAGTTAGGAGCATCCTTATAGTTATGACCAATTGAAAACCAGAAACCAATGCTGTAACTGAAGTACAAATTTAACCCCCTCTTCACTTAAACCTATTTACACTTTTATCCATCTTCCTATGGCACATTTGCAGGGACTTCCTTATAAAAACCATCAAGGTACTTAACTGTTACAAACTTCATATAAAATTTTGTTTTGTAGTGCCCAAACTATGACACTGTAGTTTGTGGAACTAATTATGAAGATAAAAGAATGTCTTTGACTTGAAATTTTTTTAAGTTTTTATTTTTTACATTCGTATACATTTATACATAAGATTTATTATTTCTAAACTCATGCCACAGTTTTGCTGTCCTTTTTGAAGTACTTTCATTTTCAACTGCTGCAAGTGTTTTAGTGTATAAAACATGTAAGTAAAGAAAATGAATAGTAGAATATTTAGGAAATAGCTTGGGTTGCACTATAGTTTGTAATTTGAGGTGAATGATCTTGCTATCTAGCTTTTTACTCACGCTTCTATGCTCCGTGCACCATTTAATGTCTGTTATTTTATGTTTAGAATGATAGTATTAATTTGATCCGAGTTGTCATGGAAAATTTGATACAAAAAGTAGTGTCTTGGTTTCAAATTGTCTATGCTTCTATGCTTTATGTTCGGTGCAAAAAATTTGATGCAAGTGATAGTATTAAAATGGTAGTACTAATGCTTCTACTCAATATATACCTTTTCAGTGTCTATCTTTTATTGTCTGTTCTGAGGCCAAATTTAGTTATGTTTTCAATAACTTGTATATTTCTCAATCTTTGCACAGATGGTGCTTTCCCACTATCGATGATGGTTCTGCAGATGATTGCAAAGGTCTTATATTGGCATCAGGAAAGTCCGGGAATTTTAATATGTTGGAACATTTGAAGCCTCCACCAGCAAAAAAATCTCGGAAGGAGCAGAATCGAGGAAAATTATCTGAAGCTACTGATGGGGATGAGGTCATGGATCAGGAAATCTGGAAAGAATTCCCCGAGGACCTTTTTGAAGCTGTCATAGCTAGACTTCCTCTTGCTACTTTTTTCCGTTTTCGGTCAGTTTGTCGGAAATGGAATTCCTTATTAGACTCGCAAAGTTTCTCTCAACAATGTGCCCAAGTTCCGCAAACTGTTCCATGGTTTTACACCATCACTCATGAAAATGTGAATTCTGGAGCAATGTATGATCCTTCCTCCAACAAATGGTATCACCCTACAATTTCCCACCTACCAACAAAGATGATTGTTTTGCCAGTTGCTTCAGCAGGAGGTCTTGTGTGTTTTCTTGACATTGGGCATAGGAACTTCTATGTATGTAATCCTCTGACTCAATCCTTCAGAGAACTGCCAGCTAGATCAGTTAAGGTCTGGTCCCGTGTTGCTGTAGGGATGACTTTAAACGGGAACTCTACCAGTGAGGGGTACAAGATCTTGTGGGTGGGTTGTGATGGAGAATATGAGGTGTATGACTCAGTGAAGGATGCATGGACCAGGCCTGGGAGCATGCCGTCAAATATTAAGGTACCACTATCACTGAACTTCCGGTCGCAGGCAGTTTCCACTGATAAGACACTTTACTTCATGCGGTCAGATCCTGAAGGAATTGTGTCATACAATATGGTAACAGGAATGTGGATGCAATTCCTAATCCCAGCTCCATTGCATTTGACTGACCACATTCTAGCTGAATGCGGGGGGCGAATTATGCTTGTGGGTTTGCTGACAAAGAATGCTGCGACATGTGTGTGTATATGGGAGCTGCAGAAGATGACGCTCTTGTGGAAGGAGGTTGACAGAATGCCAAACATATGGTGCTTGGAATTTTACGGTAAGCACGTTAGAATGACTTGTTTGGGCAACAATGATTTGCTCATGTTGTCATTGAGATCGAGACAGATGAACCGGCTAGTTACTTATAATGTAAGGAGCAGAGAATGGGTTAAAGTTCCGGGATGCGTGGTACCCTGTGGGAAGAAACGGCAATGGATTGCATGCGGCACCGCCTTTCATCCATGCCTCACTGCTATGGCTTGATTCAATCTTGCTCTTTTGCCATGCGCATTTCCCAGTCACTTATTTCTTCTGCTATTTCATTTTATTTGTCTAACTTCTTGTACAAACATGTCTGTGTTATGGGTACTGCTAATCTATAGGACAAATGAATTTTGTTTTTGGAATTTATTTTAAAATCTCTTATTATTTTAATCACTGGAACAGGTGCTTTCATTCACCATTTTTATTGAGATCTTAAATTATTTTTAGGAGAATTTGGATAGTGTATATTTGATAGCACCGAAGAAATTCTGTAGAAAATATTTTATGGATTCTGCAAATTTCGCTTGAAGTCTCTGTTTATGGCTTTCGAATGCAAAGTAGAAGATGGTAGCATTAATTTAACATGAGTTAACTAATTCCCAACAATAACACTTCTTACCAATCTCCAAATTACCAATCTTCCCATGCAAACTATATGATTCTACCAACATCACTTTCCTTCCTTTAAAGCTACATCCCCAAGTCATGGATGTTCCTTATCAACCAAAAAAAATGGGAGACAATTACAGTCAAGAATTCATCTTCCGCAGCCGGCTCCCACCGGTGGTGGTGCCCAACAACATGACGCTGCCTGATTTCGTGCTTGAAGATGCTGAATTGTATGCAGACAAGGTAGCATTTGTGGAGGCTGTGACCGGAAAATCATACACTTATGGTCAAGTTGTGAAGGACACCAAGAGATTTGCCAAAGCCTTAAAGTCGCTTGGGTTAAGGAAAGGACATCTGGTGATCTTGGTGCTACCCAATATTGCAGAATACGCCATTGTTGCTCTGGGTATCATGGCTGCCGGTTGTGTCTTCTCTGGTGCAAACCCAACAGCTCATGCTTCAGAAATAAAGAAGCAGGCACAACTAGGTGACGCCAAGCTCATTGTCACAGATACAATAAATTATGAAAAGGTAACTTTGAGGTTCTTTCTAGTCAGTTTCTATCTTAAAATATTCTGGTAAACAATTATTTTAAAGCAAATTCAAATCACAGACTAGAACGATTTCAACGCATATAAAACTTGGTTTTAATTAGTTTGCTTAATGATGGACCAGGTGAAGAGTGCAGGATTACCTGTGATTGTTTTAGGTGAAGAACGAGTTGAGGAGGCCATGAACTGGGAAGATTTGCTTGAAGCAGGAGACAAAGCAGGGAATATTAAAGATGAAAAAATTGAACAAACAGAGATTTGTGCGCTTCCATTTTCATCAGGAACAACAGGATTATCAAAAGGCGTAATGCTAACTCACAGAAACCTAGTTTCCAATCTCTGCTCCTCACTTTTCAGCGTCGGATCAGACATGATAGGTCAAGTCACCACTCTCGGACTCATTCCATTCTTCCACATTTACGGCATCACCGGAATCTGTTGCGCCACTCTGAGAAATAAAGGGAAAGTTGTAGTGATGAACAGATTTGAACTCAGAACTTTGTTAAACTCACTCATCACTCACGAAATCACTTTTGCCCCAGTTGTACCGCCGATTGTGTTGAGTCTAGTTAAGAATCCGATAGTCGATGAATTTGATCTGTCGAAGCTTAAACTCAGAGCTATTTTGACGGCAGCAGCTCCGCTTGCTCCGGAGTTAATTACAGCATTCGAGAAGAAATTTCCTGATGTTCAGATCCAACAAGCATATGGACTTACTGAGCATAGCTGCATCACGCTCACTCATGGAGATCCAGCTAACGATCATCCAATTGCAAAGAAGAATTCTGTCGGTTTCATTCTTCCTAATCTTGAAATTAAGTTCATCGATCCTGAAACTGGGACATCTCTTCCCGCCAACACCCCCGGAGAAATCTGTGTTAGAAGCCAATGCGTGATGCAAGGTTAACCTAATTTCCTATTTCACTAATTGCTCTACATACATACATACGTACATACATACATACACACACACACTACAAATCTCGAACTTCATATCATAATTCAAATTGAATTTTGGCGGCTGACTAGTTGTGTTCAAAAAAATGGTTGATTCTGGATAGTTTGACCGAAGAATCGTACTTATATCTGAAGACTTTTAGATATATATATATATATATATACACACACATACATATATATATATATATTAATTAGGTATTAGCTGGAGTGAGCAAATTCAATGCAGGTTACTACAAGAATGATGAGGAGACTGCACGGACAATAGATGAGAATGGATGGTTACACACTGGTGATGTTGGGTACATAGATGGTGATGGAGATATTTTCATTGTGGATCGAATCAAAGAGTTAATCAAGTATAAAGGGTTTCAAGTAAGATTGATTATTCTTAATTATTTCAAGAATATCTTTATATCTTAACTTGAAAGCTACACATTTCACAAAATCACATTATTCATGTATACATATACATATACATTTTTTAAAAATTATTAGAATTAATTAGAGTGGGAGTTTTGATTTGCAGGTAGCTCCGGCAGAGCTGGAAGCTATCCTCCTTGCTCATCCCTCAGTTGAAGATGCAGCAGTGGTGCCGTAAGTTTAACTTTTTATATATATCTGCGTCAAAATCTTTTATTTTTATATATAAAAAAATGTTAATTATTTTATAATATTATTATACCAAATTAATTTAATTTATAATAATAGATAAATTGAATTTAAAAATTTTATATAATTTTTTTTAAGATAATCAAATTTAAAATATATATATATTTTTTTTTTTGCTTTTTACTAATCCTAAAATCTTACCAATTTCTCAATTTAATTTTTTTTTAAATCTTTTTTACTCTATTTAATAAGCAATAAATCTCATATATTTGTCTCTTTTTTTTTTTTTTTGGGGTAATCTTTTTTCTCCATTAAGTGATACGTAGCCCCACCTTTTTTTCTTCTCTCTTTCTTTCTTGCCTTCCATTTTTCTTTCCTTTCCTCTATCCATCTCTTTCATCCCTCTTTTTCTTTCTCCTTCAATTTTCAGTTTAGGTTTAAATTTGATTCTTGGGTGAATAGAGGAAATGAATGGAGAACCAAAAAAAAGAGAGGATAAATTAGGGGGAAAAAAAAAAGGATGAGTTACTAATAAGTGAAGAGAGAAAAGAAATTAGAAGAGAAAACAAAGCAAGGAAAGGGGAAAAAGAAGAAACCAAGGGAAAATGAATGGGATTTAGTGGTTAGTGAACAGGGAGAAAGAAGACATATGGGAAAAAGATAGTTTAAGGTTTAAAGATAAAAGTAGTGATGTGAAAAATTGACATTAATGAAAAAAAAATACCATATGTGAATGATAGGAGGTATATAAGGAGAGGTGGGAAAAAGATTATGACTCAGTTCAAAATTATTCTAATATATTAAGTTAGTTATAGTTTTACATCATATCATATCTGAATTAGCGTACGTTAATACATATTTTTTTATCTCACCTAATTAAAACGGGTTGGATTTAGATTCAGTTCTGAAAAATTTGTTAGAATTCGATTTAATATTCTATGTATAAAATATCATATATATATATATATATTTTTTAAATTTTTAATGAAAAATAAAACACACACACAAATAGAGATTAATTTGTATATACCTATATATAAAATGACACTAGTTTATTAGTATACATATACACAAATAGAGATTAATTTAGTGAGATAGAATGTCAAAGGTGCTCCTTATACATCCCACAACTGAAAATGCTTAGTACAATTTGGTATGATAAGATCTTTAGATACATAATTAGTATCTCATATCAAATATTTAAGCTAATTAATAACAAGCTTATATTAGTAGAATTTCATGGACATTGAATTGGAATCTAAAACATTATTAATTTTTTACATAAAAATAGGAAGTTACATAATTTCTTTTAATTTTCCAATTGAATAAATTAAAATAGTAAGGTATTACTTGTAAAGATAAAAAAAAATAATTTAAGGAATTAATTAAATTAATAAATCAACTAAGTTTTTCTAAATATTTAAATATAATCTTATCATTTTAATTTTTTTGATTAAAAAATGAAAGAAAACTAAGTTTTATACCGAAAAATTAAAAATCAAATTATAATAAGCATGAAATTTTGATTATTAATTTAATAATTTATTCTATACATATATATACAGGCTGCCAAATGAAGAAGCAGGTGAAATCCCAGCAGCTTGTGTGGTGAAAAATCCAAAAGGGGAAGAAAGTGAAGAAGAGATGATAAAGTATGTTGCATCAAATGTTGCACACTACAAGAAAGTGAGAGTTTTGAAATTTGTGGATTCCATACCCAAGTCTCCATCAGGCAAGATCATGAGAAGACTTCTTAAGGATATCATGATAGCCAAGATGCAACCAAACCCCAATCCAATTCCATGATATATATTCATAATCAAATAACTCCAAAGATATAAGTAGACGCATACTTATATGTATATGAATTCTCTTATGTTTAAGAAGTTATATATACGAATAAGTTAGTTAAACTCATCTCTTTTCTTCTTTCTCTCCTGTTGATTGAGAACTATATATGAATGACATTATTTTATGCAATGTCTATATATTTTATCTATTTTTTAAAATTACTCATTTATTAAAAATCTTGTGTAACTAATAAAATTTATGAAATAAGAATTTTTTTAAAACAATTAATAGACAAAAAGGAAGAGATCTTCGAAAACTGAGTTTTTATAATTCGATAAACAATTAAATCTATTTAAATATTTTTATAAATTTAAATTTTCTTAAAAATAATGTTTAATCGTCAGAAATTTTTTATGATATTTCAAAAAATATAAGAATCTTGTCTTCTTTTCTCAACCGAAACCCTAG